GAAATTTTAGAACTTCTTGAAGCATGTGATGAATTAAATTTTAATGAGTTAATTGATGATTTACAAAATTATTTAATTAATGAAAAAAATAAATGGATACACCAAAATTTAATTTATGTTAATGAAATTTCATCAAAACACCAATTGTTCAGTCTACTTCAAAATTATTGTAATAAATTAATTCGCAAAAAACCAGAAGTATTTTTAAAATCTAAAGACATTGCAATAGTTGAAAAAACAATGCTTATGTCTATATTGGAAAGGGATGATTTAGAATTAGATGAAATTGAAGTTTGGGATTGCATTATTCAATGGGGAATAGGACAAAATGAAAAAACACTGAAAAAAAATTTTTCAGAGTGGGATAAGGATGATTTCAAAGTGTTGAAAAATATATTGGAAGATATTATTCCATTAATTAGGTTCAATAATATTTCTTCGAATAATTTTGATGAGAAAATTAGACCATATAGAAAAGCCTTTAATAAAGAAGCATATGAAGAGATTCTTCAATATTATGTTAGTTATGAAAAATGGCAACCTAGGTTACTTCTTCAAAAAGGCCCAAGAACAAGAATCAGGAAAGGGACATTATTAAATCCAAAGTTAAAAACTTTAATTTCTGGTTGGATTGATCAAAAAAATAATGATTATTATAATGAATATAATATGCCATATGATTTTGAATTAATTTATTGTGGATCAGGAGATGGCTTTTCAAGGGCAGTTTTTGAGAAGAAATGTTATAACATTGAGAAAACTGTAGTCTTAATGAAATTTAAAGAAACAGGCGAATTAGCAGGTGGTTATAATTCAGCTTGTTGGAACATAAAAGAAAAATCTCGAAATGAAAATTATTGTATTGTAGCCGATAAAAGTTTTATATTTAAAATTGATGATGATAAAGTTAATAATCCAATTTTAAGTAGAGCCCAATATCCTAGATGGGCAATATATCATCATGCACCAATTATTAGTGTTTTTACTCAATATGGTACGGAACTTCATGAGGTTACTGTAGATTTCCGTGATTTACAACTACGTAACATTAATAATAAACCTTATTGTTGTCATTATCCCTATGCTTATGAAAATAATTTCTTTATTGGAAATGATTCAAAAATGGTGTTGGAAGAATGTGAAGTGTATAAATTAATAGTAATTGAATAAAATTTTTTTAACTATAATTATTTATCAAAACTTGATAATTACAATTTTCAATAAAATCTGATTTTAACAATTCTGCAATTGCATATTTAAATTGTGATGAAAAAAAAAAGCCTGATAATTACAGTTTTTCATCCTTGGACTCTTACTTGATGACCTTACAAGTTCTAACCAAAATATATTAGTCAACTAGTAAATGATTTAACAAATTTATTGAATGAATCAAAGTTGAAGATGATAAATTTTAAAAGCAAGGTCCTCTCCATATTTTAAAATCGAATTATTAGCTAATTAGGTCAAAAAATTCGATTTTGTTTAGGAAAGAAAACATATCTCCAAATTTAAGTAATATTAATCTAAAAATTTATACAATGAAGTTGTTAATATATATGATCTGGATGAAAGGAACTTCTTTAATGATTTACTTGATTGAACGTAAAATCCAAATTATAATTTGTGACTATTTTTAAAAAATCTAGTGCTACTTTGTTATTTAGTTATGAAGTTTGCAAAGCGCGTTAAACGACTAATTATTTAAAATATTTTTCGTTGTCCGAGATTAAATAAAATACATAAATTTGACTCTTTAGATCATTAGGAAATATTGGTTTTGCAACAGTTTTCTTATTTTTAAAGCTCAAAATTTTTTCTCAATAAAAAATAAAATTCGGTCAGTTTTCGGTTTGTATACAAAAAAGGTTAGTTTACCTCTTAACCTGCCCGAAAACGAATTGTTCGAAGCTTTAATTTATCTTCTTGAATTCATTTATGATAATGATAACTGTTTTTTGCTTTGCATTCAACCGATCTTTTTCAATAGTTATTATCATTTTTAACATATATATTAATACTTCAAAAGATCCTATATAATTCTTTTCGCTCGATTAATGCATCTGCTCGCCTTGGTATCAATTTGCTTGCTTCTAGAGATCAACAACACCATCGATGAAGCAGATGAAATATAAAATGTTGATGCGGTGCATTAATAAACAAATCACTATGCTAGTTTTATCAAAGTGATTAAAATGATCATTTATTACTTTTTTTTCAAAGTATAAACGATTGTAGCCGTCTCCACTTGTAGTAATAATTGTAATAATTGTTATCTTTATAATGTTTCAATGAGCCCAAGGATAGCATAATAAAACATTTCTTTAAATCAACGAGCGGTGCCCGATTTTTCTTTAATATTAATTATAGAGTTGTAAGATTGAAGTTTTAGTGTAGTGAATTTTTAGCAGGACAGCTTCTCTCTGGAGTACTCTTCCCTGGTCATTTTGTTAAAGAAAGTAATTTTCACGAAAAAACTTTTTTAAAGTAATTTTAACAGCGGCCAGTAAGTTTTCTATATACACATATGTATCGAGATTTTCTGTTTTCCATATGTTTAATTATATGATATTGATGTCTCTGTCAGATTTTTCACTATAATAGATGGATCTCTGACGGCGAAATAAATCAAAATCCGTTGGCAGTTGTATCAATAACCAGCCTACTACTGCTCAAAACTAGTGGGCTTATTTGTATCTTTGAGTCAAGAAGTTAGGATAATATGGACAAGTTCAATGACTGCCACCATAATCCACAAATTTTATTTTTGAAGACTTCAATGGATTCTCGCTATGTAATGAATTAAGTTATTATCTTGCCTGTTATGTAAAGACTGATTTATTTGTTTCAAATACAGGCGAGGAGATTGGGGTGAGAGTATTAAAATGAAGCAAACATCATGATATTAAATTAATTAATTATTATTACCACAGAGAATAAATTACTCACTTATTTCGTGGCCTTTTCTTCTTAAGGACAGAGATCCTTTTCCGTGAAGATAGAAATATATTTAACAGTCTCTCCAACAAAATGAAGAAACCCAATGCAATTTAATAAAATCAGTGTCCCATCCCCACTTCTGATTTCTTGTTGCGTCATATCCTACAGAGCGTGGTTGGTTTCTTTAGAAAGGAGCAATTTTAGTTTTTGGGTTACACGTCTAAATCACGTAGTCACATATGTGATGCGAAAAAAATTTATTTATTATATTATAATGTGACCGCATAATTCTGATGATATAAGCAAAAATGTCTTTTCGTCTAAATTTTCAACCAATTCTGACATTAATATATAACCCAAAATGCAGTAAATCAAACAAAGCTTTACAAAGATCTTGCTTTTAAAATATTGGAATGAGCTTTGAATATTTTACTATTTTCTTCTTCTCCAACTTTGACTTCCATATCATAATAATCTGATTCTTTCATTAAACTTGTTAAATCATTTACTAGCTTATTAGTATATTTTAATGGTAAAGCATTTTGGTTAGAGTTTATAAGATTGTTAAATAATGTACTTTCTAATGATGAAAAACTGTTATTATTATTAAACATTTTGAAATTGATTAATATTAAATATGTATGACAATCATTTTGAAATGGTGTATTTACACTATATATGTAATTTTGCAATAATTGCACAAATACAACAAATACAGCACTTGGTCAAAAGTTTTGGTGAATTTTATAATATTCATAGCCTAGGCCCTTGTGAACATCTGTGCAAAATTTCCATGCTTCTAGGTTTGTAGAACTTGAATAAATAAATAAAAGTGAATTTTGATTAAAAAATTTTTATTTATTTTATTACTCAAAACCTATGTAATAACTTAACTACTACCAATCCTACCATCTAATATTTAGTTGGATGTCCTTTTCTCTTTATACAAACTTGAATTCATGCTTTCAATCAAATTCATTAAAACACTTTGAGGAATTTTATTCTGTTCCTCTTTAAATCAGCCTCAAGTTCTTTAGATTGTTAGGATGACTTCTAATGCATGTTTCTAGCACATGCCAAAGATGCTCAATAGGGTTTAGTCAGGAGATTTTCTTGGTAAATTTTGGGTTTGTTTGCCCTTAACCACTTTTGAACATCTTTAGCAGTATGAATTGAAGCATTATCATCTTGAAACAAATACCCTGTCCATTAAAGCCTTTATCAGCAAATTTGTTTACAAGCATTTGAGTATAATAATGCCAGCTCATTTTACCATTAATTTTTGCCAGTGGTCCTAATCCTTTACCAAGGTCAAGCCATAACCTTCTGGCTGATTTCAACTACATTCTCTTCAGTTCATCCTCTTCTTGGGGTAATTCATGATACCACTTCTTCACCATACCAGTCATGAAAATCCTATATTCTTGTACTGTATGTTGTCTCATCTGGGGCAAGCTTTTTTGCAACATATCTGACATAATCTTTGTGATTTAAAATATTCTATATAGTTTGAATCAAGTTTATTGTGGTCTACCATTTTTTTGATAATTCTGATGTATATTCAAATGCAAAATTTTTTCATAATCAAAAGGTTAATAACTATCTTCAGGTAAGCCTCTACTGGTTTACCCCTTCAATTTGCCTTTATCTCACTTGCTCTTACTTTCATTTCATGTCACCTTCTCAAATTTACCTTTGTCTGCTCTACAAAAAATAAAATACAGAATACATACAGAGTACATAATATGGAAAACCAGTATGTTTTGTATGTATTTTGGCTATTTATATTTTATTTTTTATAGGGCAGTCCACATGCTAAACATAGCTGTGTTCCTTTTCCAACAGCTTGTGCAAGGAATGTATTGTTTGCTTCCCTTTATTTGAATTGTAAATGGAGATTTTCTAGGAAAACTTTGAAACTCTGACCAAAATTGGGTTATTTATATATTATATAATGAAGATTATAATTGTATTATTGGTGGCTCATTATTCTCATTCAAACTTGGAATTCTCCATAACGCATTACTTACAGTAAAAAACTTAATCAATATGTTTTGTTTAACTCATGGTTAAAACAAAATAATATCAACTTAAAAATAAAACAGCTAATCAATTATTATATAGCACAAATACCCTCAAATTCAAATTCAAATTCTAATTTTAATTCAAATTCTAATTCATCTAGTTTTAATAGGTGACTTCATTAATACTGGATCTGACTTCCTATTACCTAGGTAATATCCAGATCAGTCAACAATATCTATGATGCAGTTAAAATTGTTAAATTGAGACTGAATAAACTTCATAGACTTTGTTTGGCATATCTGTTTTTTTCCTGAAATGTTAAATTTAAATATTATATATTTTTTTTAATTATTTCAAGAGGAATAGCCTCATATAAAGTTAATTTGGAATTTATTTTGTGAATTATTATTATTATTATATTTACTTTATTCTAATAAAATTATATTATATGAGCAGGATATTGCCTTTATTAAAATAAATTTAGCCTGTTAAAACATATTTTGCAGAGATTGTCATTTGATTATTTTCAAAGCCTGCTGGTTTTTTCCTAGCTTTGATGATTTTAGATTTTGTTTTAAATTGAGAAGATACTGCAACAAGAAAGTTCCTGGAAAATAAAATAAAATTATTGTACTTGTAAACAATTACAATCTCAAAAGTCAATTGAAATGCAGTTTCTATCATTATCAACCTGAACAACTTCAATAATTCAGCTTTGTTCTAATAACTTTACAATCCTTGATAAAGTGTAAACTCGGTTATAAATAAATAATAATAAATTTAATTAGTAACCATATTATATATTTTTCATCCAAGTCATTATCAAAAAGACACCATTATTACAAACATTTTTTTTGGGTCACATTACAAAAGAATACATAAAAAACTATACATACCATTAGCACAAAACTAATAATTTAACTGGGTCCCTCTTTACTTTATTTATTTATTCCGAGAAAATCTTGTCATCTATCTTCTTGAGTGGATGTGGACTGCCCGTAGGGGTGCTTGATAATTACCATGCTTCCTGCTAGCCTTTGTTCTTTCTTTTGAAGATTATGAATTCCAAATATTACTCATACATAAATATTTGTTTCAAATAATTATTAATTGAATTTATCACTACATTATTTTTATCCTTTTTACTTGCACCAAGGTTATAGGATTCACCAGCACCCCATGACCATATCGATTCATCATGAGCAATAGCAATATTGCTATTGTTCCATGCCCTTACTTTTCTATAATTCGAAATTTCATTATCAACATCTTTAGAAGTGGTGGTAACATTGTCTTTATTTGATAATGGATCTCTTCCCACTTCACTGAAAGTGTAAAATCTTTGATTCTGCATTACATTATCACCAACGCCTAATTGACCATCATCACATCTTCCAAAAGAAAACATTCTACCATCTTCAAACAATACAATTGTATGGTGTTGTCCGGCAGCAATTTCTTTAATTGTACTATCATAATCAAGATCAAGTCGTGTAGGAAGTATTATTGATTCTTTCTGGCTAGGATCAAATCCACATTGGCCATAGTTGTTAAGTCCCCATACATATAATTTATTACTTGTATCAATAACGAACGAATTCCAACTACCACAAAAAATTTTTTTAATGTTTCTCATAATGCGTTCTGGTGCCAACCCTGATCCCTTTTCATTTAGACGAGGATTAAATTTTCTTCCCAGTTGAAACATTCCATTCCACCCCCAGACATACAGTTCATGCTTTTTTGTAATAGCTAATGTATGGTTTTCACCACAAGCAACATCACTGAACTTGATACGTTGGACAGGCTTATATTTAGTGAATATTATTTGTTTATGAAGTAATTGTTCTCGCGAAAATCCGAGTCGTCCATTTTCATCCTAATTAAGAAATTTTAATGGCAAATCATAAAAAATGCACAAGCAACAAACACAATTAATAAAAGGAAATAGTAAATAAATAAATAAAATATACAAACACACATAAATAAACAATATACAAATACACTAATACATACAAAGTAAGTGCCTGCTGCATAAAGAACGCCTTCATCAGATAATAAAAATGTTATATTATCACCACAAGCAGCCTTAACAATTCTAACATCATCTACTCCCTCAACTTGAGCAGGAATAAATTCATCTATTTTGTCGGTATTTCTTCCCAAAGCACCCTCATCATTGCAGCCCCAACTGTATACCCTTCCTTGATCATCTATAGCAACGTTATGTAAACTTGATACAGATATCGCAACTATGTTTTTGTTTACTAGAGGTTCCAATAGCCTCGGTTTTTTGATAGTGTCAACAATTTCAGGATCGAAACCTAGCTGTGCAATTTCATTTGAACCAAATACAAAAATATTTCCTGGAACATTTGGGATTTCTATCCTTGGTATGACGACTCCTTTAATCTTTTTATTTATGACAGTTGGTTCTGGCGTGACTGTTCCACCGATTCTCCTCTTTTTCATTTTTTTTTTTTTTTTTTTAAATTTTAAAAACAATTTTTTTATGTTAAATATCGATTTCTAATAAAGGAAAGATACTACCCCCTAAGATGTGTAATGATGTAATGTGATCAAATCGCCCCATGTAAATACTATTAAATTAAATTGATTGTCAGCTGTAAATATATTAATATAGTAAGCCTTTTTCCAAAAAAAAATACCGTAAATTTAGTTTGTTTTATTGGATCTTAATATCTTTAATTTTAAAATGTACAATTAACAAATAAATCAGTAGG